GTGGCCAGGAGTGTATTTGCACAATTAAAGCTAGTAAAGAGGTCCCCTCGCAGCATAAACAGGTAGCTTAACCATTGCCATATTATTCTTGACCTATGACTCATTATCCCTGTCTTGCTTCTATTTTTTTATGTATTTATTGGATTTCTATCCCACCCATCTAGACCAAAGGTCTACTCTGGGCGGTTAAACTGTGGAACTGCTTGCTTCAAGGAAATGTATAAGCTGCAAAACATCTATAGGATGTGGGCAATAAAGAGAGAGGTTTTTCAACCGCAAGGACAGATCAGAGAAAATATATGTCTGTCATCTGTGCTGCAGCAAAATCACAAAGGAAAGATGGGGGAAGGGGGAACAGCGGCTGCCCCACATCTTTGTGACATCCCTTTTTATCCTGAAAGACACAAATATATATTTTTCGGGCACGAAAAAATATAAAAAGGGACGTCACAAAGATGTGGGGCAGCCACCCACAGCTTGCTTGCCATTGGTGTGCAACCCTGTTTTCCTCTACTCAGCTGAGCAAAGGAGCAGTTAAAGGACCTCCTCTTTGTCTTATTGATTGGCATATCCCTGATAAAGGCAAAGGAAAGAGGGCCCGGCTAGCGCGACCCAACATTCGTGTGCCAGCTGTGCCCATTCCTAGAGACATTTGATCCGGCCACCGTGACACATGCCTTCGGTCCATCCTGGCTGGATTACTGTCACTCGCTCTATGTGGGGCTTCCTCTAGAAAGTGTCTGGAAACTTCAGTGGGTCCAAAATGCAGCACACACCCACCCACCCCGGTTACAGCAGCTCCACCAGCTGCCAATCAGTTTCCAGGTAAAATTGAAAGAACTGCTTCTAACTCATGCATAAAGCCCTAAACGGCTTGGGTCCAAGCTGTCTCATGCACCCCATCCTCCTTTGTGAGCCTGCTTGGGCATTAAGACCACCACCAGGAGAATCTTCTCTGCCAGTCCCATCGTCTTCACAGATGTGCTGGGTATGGACAGGAGAGAGGGTCATTGATTTGGAACCCAGATAATTAAGAACGGATTTAGAAAGTCTTCTGAATATCTTTTACATAAAGTCGATCCCATTTATGGACAGAAAAATAAGTGATGTATGAAACCAACAAGTATAGTCTTTTCTTCTTTTTATTTAGGGAATGTATATAAAAGTATAGACATGCCAGGAATATAAAAAATATTACTATGCAAAAAAAAAAAAAATTATAGGCTAAACTGATGTTTTCTCAACCACATTTATATTAGAAAACCATGCATTTCCCAAGAACCATAAGCCAAGTCTTATAATAATTGATACACACCATAAAATAATAGATAATAAAAATTAAACTAATATTTTCTCTTATCGTAGAATGGAAAACACATTTATGGAATCTCATGGCAATGATCCAGTGGTAATTTTTTACTTGCAAAGCACCCCCTCCATCTCAATGCTCCCAAACTCTTCACCAGAGCAAAAGGGAGCCCTGGGACATCTTGGAAGCTGAATCTGGGGATAAGAAGCTTTAAATCTATTTAAAGTAATACTTCTTGTTTCCTGATCTGATTTACTCCAGTGTATAGCTACACAATAGGATTTTGCCTGTTGTTCTTCTTTAACCTGAGATTTAGGGACCATTCTGGCTGCTGGACCATACTCATATCCATATGGCTGAATAATCTCATATTGGGAGCAAAACATCTTTAACCTATTATGATGTATTGCTCCATTGATTTCAGTGGGGCTCCAGCAAAACTCTCTGGCCAAACGTGTTGATGTAAACTTTAATAAGCAACATTTTGTTGTACCATTGAGAAATAAACTTGAAGCTGGATGTAGGTTTGTGAAATAACCATGCCCATCGCAGACATGACTTCTCGGCCTTACACCTTTCAAGAAAGTCCTCCTGGTCACAGAGACTGGTGAAACCTTAGGAAGGAAAACCTCCAGAACATGGCCAAACAGCCCGAAAAACCTACAGCAACCAGAAATTAATTTCATTTTATACATCTGATCTCTTGATAATACAAATAAATTTAACATTTTGCATTTTAGCTTTACAATAGCCAGCTTTCGTATTGTGACCTGAAAGCATTTCGCGTACATCTTACAGAGCAATCCGAGCACAAGGTCACAGATAAAACTCCTGCTGCACGAATCCTCTGGTAGCTCAGCAATGGCTCCTTCCAGAAAAAAGCACATGCGCTGGTCACCCAAATCCATCCAAGCGCTCATCAAAGAAATAGAAAGCCTTCCTGAGGGTATCCGCCTCATGGGAAGCTCATCAGCCCCAAACTTGGCCATCTGGAAAAAAGTGGAGAAAAAGATGGCCAGAAGGAATTACCCCTGGAAGGTGTCCCAGCTCAGGAACTGCTGGAAGATGATCAAGTCAAAATTCTACACGGAGCAAGCCTTTCACAAGATCTACAAGGCTCACAGTCGTGATCCTCCTCCATACTATCAGTCAATGCTTCGGCTGTGGAAGCGGGCAGGGAAGCCCATCTTCAGGGACAGACGCCGCACAGGTGAGGTTCAGCAAGTGGGAAGGTACCACATGGCATAGTGTGTGTGTGTGTGTGTGTGTGCGCGCCTCCATCACCAAACGAAGAAGTCGAAGAAAGATGTGTGTGTGTGTGTGCGCGCGCGCGCCTCCATCACCAAACGAAGAAGTCAAAGGAAGACACTGGTCTGCATAATGTGGCATATGGAAATTTATATGGGCAAGTGCAAAACCAGACGTTAATGTATAAGAATCTAAGAAGAACCTTCCTGGATCAGGCCAAGGGCCCCTCTTAATCCAGCTTCCTATATCTCCCAGTGGCCCCACCAGATGCCTCTGGGAGCACATGAGACAATAAGATCCCTGCCTCCCGATCCCCCTCTTCCCCTGCATCTGGCCTTTGGAGGTCCCTTCCTTCGAAGCCTGGAGATTGTCCATCCCCATCAGGGCTTGTCCTCCAGAAATCTGTCCCGTCCCCTTTGAAAGGCCTCTAGGCCAGATAGGTCAAGGAGAATAACAATGCACCTCACTCAGGAGGCACTGAGTGGACCGGCTGGCCTGCGGCTGGATCCAGGGTTTGGGTGTCCCCTGCCGTGAATGCAACTTCAAGGTCTCAGATCCCCCCCTCCTTCTTACGGGTCTTGCTCTTGGAGCCTTGGGCTGCAGAGTCCCTCAAAAGGTGCAGGCAGAGGGTGGTGGCCCATGTAGCTGGATCATGACCTTCTTCCCCTCCTCCTGCAACTGTCATGGCTACCTGCTCCGCTCTCCCCTTTCCAGCAGCCAACAAGCCCTGCCAACGGCAGCCGCAACGTCAGCGCCCACAAGTGAAGAGGAGGCAACGCGTCCTCTCATTACCAAGGCTCGCGGATGAGCCACTCCCACCTGTGGCACCTGCGGCTGCAGCAAGACTGCCGAATTCCTCGGGGCTGGGTGAGAACGGCCACGGTGGCCCTCCTTCTGATAACGGGGTAGGTGGGCAGGCGGGCAAAGGGCCTGGCTCTCGGTCGCTCTGCGTGGTGGCATCGACCAAGAACACAGCCCTCATGGCCAACATGGCATCTTCTGCCTCTCCTGATGGCCGAGAAGGCTCCTCTCCAGGGGAAGGTGGGAGGCAAGTGGCGTGGATTTGGGATCTCCTGATGGCCGAGAAGGCTCCTCTCCAAGGGAAGGTGGCGTGGATTCGGGGCTCACCTTGTCCTGAATTAGCAGCACCAGTTTGGTAGCAATGCACATCTGAATGGCCTCCCCGCTCTTCCTCTTACAGAAGAAGCCAACACTTATGCCAGGGACTACAACCAATCTCTGCATCAGCTCCAGCAGAGACCAGTAGGGGAAGGTGCCAGTGGCCAGGAAGCCCCGGGAGCCGCCTGGAACCACAAACGATGGCATCCGCATCACGGCCTTCCGCCATGTGAGTATGCAGAGCAGTGGTGGCCCTAATCCTTGGGACCACCTCTAGTAGTCCCCTGAAGGAAACCACAGGAAGAGCTTGGAAGCAACTAGTTACAAGGATCACAATTCCTATCATGAATTACTTTTGCAGTAACCATAGAAATTAGTTCTACTTCAAAAGTAATAAAATAGGCAGTCCCAAAGAATCTTTTTGATAAGATAAATGTTCCAGTTACATTCAAAGAGCATTTTAAGGCATTGCAAGTGGCACTTCGTTGGGATTTTTCAAGTGCAATGCCGGTGTCTTTATCAAGTGCAAGGGAATTACAGTACTGTTTTGTGCCATCTTTTCATATTCTCTGGTGTAATATCAGAACTGGCCACTAGAGGGGAACAGTGTGTATCTCCCCATGATTTTTTTAGAATTTCTTTTGCAAACATAGCAACAGTGGCAATAAGTACAGTGGTGCCTCACTTAATGGCGATAATCCGTTCCAGGAAAATCGCTGTTAAGCGAAAACGTCATAAAGCGAAAATAAAAAGCCCATTGAAACGCATTGAAAACCATTCATTGCATTCCAATGGGCTAAAAACTCACCATCCAGCAAAGATCCTCAATACGGCGGCCATTTTTGGTGCCTGTATAGCGAGGAATCCATCCCTAAACACAGCAGGGAGTCATTTTAAATCCCGGCGGCCATTTTGAAGCCATAGATCAGCTGTTAAAAAAACATCGTTTTGCGAAGAATCAGTTCCTGAAGGAGGGAACCGATCATCGCAAAGCGAAAAAACCCTATTTAGACCATCGTTTTACGATCGCAAAAGTGATCGCAAAAACGTCATCGTGAAGCGGATTTGTCGTAATGCGGGGTAATCGTAAAGCGGGGCACAACTGTATTCTATTTTACTTGTAAAAGGGTAGCTGTGTTCGTCTGTGCAAACATTATAGGTGAAAACGAAAACCTCATCTCTTGACCCTTGCCCGGCCTGGCTAATCAAAGCAGCCAGGCCTATAACAACAGAATGGGCAACGATGATAATTAATGGGTCTTTCCTTGAGGGCAGGGTTCCCCTTGCCCTCAAGGAGACACTCATTAGGCCCATAAGAAAGAAACTGAAATTGGTGGCGGACGATATTTGTAATTACAGGCCCGTTGCCAATGTTTCCTTCATTAGCGAAGTGGTGGAGAGGGTGGTGGCCGACCAGCTTCAGGTTCACTTGGATGAAACAGATGCGCTGGATCCGTTCCAGTCGGGCTTCAGGCCACGCCATGGCACAGAAACGGCACTGGTCGC